AGATCTCACCTCTTTTCTTATTTCTACTGCTTCCCCTTTGTTTCTATGCCCATTGACCACTTAAATGTTTTCCCTCAAAGTCTCCAGATCTGAATCTCTGATTTAAAACTCACTGAGGGGGGAAGTAGGGTTATGTCTTGAAATATCCCTGGCCTCCCATTCACAGTGGTCCAAGTCCTTCTTCCAAGTGTTGGATGGTGTGGGCAGGCCTCGGCTATTTCAATTTTTCTCATTAGGCATTCACTCTTGGCATTTTGGCTTCTTGGTAGAAGCCTTAATATTCTTAGTAGGAGCCTTGCATTTAGAAATGTTTCTTTAGGTACCACTAGGTTTCCAAATGTTTAAAAGACGTGACACTGGAAGGAAATGGAATTAGTTGTGTGGTTTAAAACCTGCGAGGAAACTGGTAAATGTTTCTGAGGACTACTGACCTGTCTGTGAATTGATCAAACACAGTCTGTAATTGCGGATGCCCATGCAATCATGCTGTTGTACAATTCACCATTCAGTTAGACTCTATGAAACCAGCCAATGGTTACTAAAGTGCTATCATAGGACACAAGAAATAATTGGTTCAGGTCTCTACCTTCAGGGGAGGTCACAGTTTAGGAGAGAGGAGAACAGACAAAACTAAGATTGGACACTGGGTAAAGCATAGGAACATGCAGGTGCTGTAAAAAAAAAAAAAAAATGCACTCACTGCCTGGCACTGCAGATGGTTCCGAGACAATGTGCCAATTGAACAGGACCCTGAAAGAGAAATAAGAATCTGTTTCCATTGGAAGGGTCTTTGAACTGATCCATATATTGAGAAGAGGCCAGAGGTGGGTAAGAAATGAAAATAAATACCATAAACAAAGTGAGACATAAACTAAGTGAGACTTAGCAATGAGTGATGTGGGTCATTTTAACTCAGTTGTGATGATCTAATTAGACTAAAATTGCAACCACTCCAACTCAGTTATCCAAAAAAAAAAAAAAATTAGAAATCTCTGACTCACCTTTTATTATTTTTATAATATCAATTTACTCTGTACCTAAAGGATGAAATGAGGGAAGTTTGTAAAATATTTTCAAACTAAAGGAAGAAATTCTAAAAGAAAGTCAATAAACCTTATCCTAGCAATGAATAAGGAAAGAGTAAATGGCACATGATTTGGAAGTGAAGTTTAGAGGGACTGCTTGGGGATTTAGTTCAGTTTGAAATTTTCCCTTATGAACTAAAAGATTTATTTATTCTCAAGTCATGAAACGAAAAACCATAAACTTGTTTGAAAATGAGGAGGGGGAACGGGAAAACCTATTCTTATCTGTACAAATAAAAATGAAATTTTTAGGATTTCCTATGGCTAAAATGATCATTTCTAAATTCATCCAACTAAAGACACAATTTAAAATTGGACTTGTTGAGGTAGATATTTCTGTCTTCAGTTTGTGCAAAGTCACTGTCTCATCTGGAAGCCATTTATCCAGCTCCTCCTACATGTTAAACATTCTACTTGAAGTTGTGAAGGATAAAAATATGAGTAAGATATACCTCTGACCTCAGGGCTTATGAGAAAAGATTTCTTTATCTTCACAATATCTCTCGTTTCATCTTCCATGTCTCCATCACAACCAACAAACTTCCAGTTCAGTTTCAATTCCCTTCCCATGCAATCTGTAATCTGGCCTGTCCTCCTCTTCACCCGTGAGCCCTGCCATTGTCCCCAACTCCAACTAAAGCATTTCCCAACAGCTGAACTGTGCTCCATCTTGAAAAACACTGATTCAGAAAGTAGTTTGTTACTCCCTCTTTGATTTGTATTTATGGGAAAAAAAACCACAAGAGCAGCTTAGTTATAGGAGTTGGGCAGCCATAACAACTCCATCAGTCCAGGTGTGAACTATGGTGAGAAACAAGATAGTAGGTGGGGAAGAAACACAGATCTCATGAGGCAGAGGTCTCAGAGAATACTGCAGAGGCCACGCCTCTGTCCTACACTCCCTGGTATCTCTCTGATCAACCTTCCCTAGAAGAGCTTTCTCCAGGAAATACATCTGAAATTTGAATGAGAAGAAAGACTCCAAAAGAAAATTCCTATTACCTTTGATAAAGCAGACTTGCCTGAAAGGACAGTTATCAAATTTAGACTACAGTTTTTCAGGACTTACAACTAAAAGTATCTACAGAAATCTAACACCATGATCCTCTAAAACTATAGGTAACTTAGGCCTATTCCACAAGTATATGCACAGAGCTGAGATTTAGGGAAAAATTCTTAGTCCTTTTTTTTTTTTTAACGGAGGAATCTAACTGTATCCAGTACAAGGGAGCTTTTCATTGAATATAATTCATACTTTTCTACATAACAATATTTCTCAAAATCATGACTAAGAGAACTCAGCTATTCTTGGTTATCTGTCAGTGAAATTAGACTTTTCTTCAGAGAAATAATGGCTATCAAAGAGATAGTTATGACATCATACATACATATTCATGCTTTGAAAGTCACAGTTATATTGGTTTAGTCTTTACTCCTTATGCACTTTAGCCAATGAATCAATAAGACCTTGAACCAGAGGCCAGTAATCAGAATGCACTGCATAGTAGATGCAAGCCTGTTACAATAAATTCTATGAGTATAGTGTGGTACCATATTTGATGGTGACCTTTATCCCCCATGAATGTTTATAACACAGCAGAATTCAGATGTCACTTGACAGCCATGAGAATGCCACAGATTGGAAGTGGGCATGGTTTGTGAAGTTAGGACTACATCACTATGGTGACATCGCACTAGGTGGGTTCATCACATTAAGCACCTATGGTTAAAAAAGCAAGTCTTACCAGGGAATATACATTAATATATGGTTCCTTTGGAAACTATTACATATGCACCGTTTGTACGTGAACTAACTATAAATGAGTTACAGATTCTGGGACACTAATCACATTTTCAGAAGAGCTAACGGAATCAGTGACGTTTAGCCATTTTTTCATTTTGTAATATATCATCTTGTACACCAGTGCTTCCAACTTTATTTCCAGATAATAAAATTGACTTCTATGCCAGAAAATATTATAAATCATTCCTAAACTTAAATAGACCATAGCATTTTCAAAAATTAAAATATGTTTTATCCCAGAAGCACTGAAGACTCATAGTTTCTCAATTAAAAAATTTCAATATAAATAGAATGGATGATATTCAAGAATTTTTGAATTCAGAAAACAAAATGCAAAGGGACTCAGAGTTTTACTTATAGGCTAAAGCAGCATCTTTAAAAAAAAAAAAAAAGAAAGCTTAAAACCAAAACATACCTTGGATAATTTGATTCCTAGTGAAATCTGTGAGTCTTTATACATAGTAACACTAAAACTTATAATAATTGAAGAAATGCCTATCACTGTAACTTGAACACTAAAAGAAGGACATTCTCAATGCTTATCCCTCAATAGCGTCTACAAATTAGTATGTATGAAAAACAAGTTGCAAAGTTTACGTCAAAATCTTAAACTCTAATGAAGATCTGAGATGTATACACGTTTAAAGTACCAAATGTGTCTCTTGGTTTCAAGTCTCTGAATGACTACTAAATGCCTCCAAATTGCTGCTTTAGAAATAATAGAATTGCAGGCCGGCCTGGTGGTGCACTGCTACAGTGCGCCGCTTGGGAGTGCAGTGGTGCTCCCGCCGAGGGTTCGGATCCCACATACAGACCGGTTCCCGCTCACTGGCTGAGCGAGGTGCGGGCGCAACACCGAGGTTTGCGATCCTGTTGCCGGTCCCGGTCCGGTACGGGCGCGACACTGAGGGTTGTGATCCGTTGCCGGTCAGTAAAAAAGACAAAAAGGAAAAAAAAAAAAAAGAAATAATAGAATTGCATTTTTTCTTCCCATATGTACCATGATTTAGGTCTCCAGTCACCTTGCCTCAGCTCTAAGCTGTAATATCACTGATACTGTGCCAAAGAAACAATGAAGTGAGAGTAGAGTATTATAAAATATTTTGATTTGTTGATACCCCAAAGCACTTTATTATTTCATGTGTCTCTTAAAATACAACTTTACAAATAATTACTTTGAAGTCCAGAGACTTTTGAGGCACATTTTTTCTTATAACAAGAAGAAAACTAGACAGTTATGCCCATTTTAAGAAAGGCCAATATAAAAACTCCAGAAAAAGTAAGACAGTCAATTTAAGGATTAACCAGCTGTATACATAAGTGTATTTTCTCCCTTAGTTGTAGTAATATAATTTGAGCAAGTCTGGATTCAAACAAGTGCAGAATAACCTAAGTAAAGAGTTGGCTGCCAGTGATAATTAGAGACCCACTAAAGGACGGACTGAAAGATTATTGAGATTAGAGAACAGACTAATGGGAAAATATGATTTAATTTACAGAAATCTATTTCACATACAGATTTTCACAAACATATCTACTGGATACCTGTACGGTTAATATAACACTATTTTCTATCCTCCTAAATAATATTTGCTATGTACTACAAAAGTATTCCAAAGCAACGTAGTGGGTATGTTTTAGGTGACTTGAGCTTTTTAAGAGGAGAAAAGGAGAAGTCAGTGTTTATATTTGCCACATAAACACTGACCTGTTTTAAGCAGAACTTGTCACCTCAAAGTCTGAAGCCACCGTTCCAGGTAGCAGTAGGAGCTTTTTGTCCAAGAGTGTAGTAGGATTGGCACTTAGCAACTGTGATTCAATAGGTGTCATTTTTTACATATTGAAATTAGAAGGTAATTCTAGACTATTCCAGGAGGAGGAAAAAAGGCTTGAGCTTTAAAAATTAAAGTTGGCTGCATCAAAAATATGTTGACAGTGCTAAAAGGCTCATTCTCCTCCCCTTGGTATTTTTTTTTCTTGCCTTCCCCCATTATTTATTTATTTTATTTTTGGTAGGCTTGCTATTCTCATTTTGTTGCAAGGCTGCATTTAATTCCTCTGACTCTACAGCTTAGCAAAGCCCTTTGACACCTGTGTTCATTTGTTCTCAGCTGGTGAATGAGCAACAAGAAAGCAGACCCCTTCTGAGTCCCTCCATCGATGACTTCCTCTGTGAAACCAAATCGGAGGCAATAGCAAGACCAGTAACCTCCAACACAGCCGGTAATTCTTTCACTTTTAACTGTACCTCCAGGAGCGTTAACTTTAACTATAGTAAATTGCACACTTTTTACCACAATGCCCTTTAAGTGGGGAAGAATGTCTTCCACCAAATGAAACTTTAAAACATACTCTATTCTACATAAACCAATAAATCACTTTTCATTGTACAAGAAACTGCAATGTATATTACCCAACCAATTTTGCTGAACATAAATGTACCACTATTAGCAATGAGTCACTTTTCCATGCATATTTTCATATTTACATCTTCACATTTCAAGTCTCATCACGTTAGGAAATCTTTAAAACAAAAGCATCTATTTCAGAGTAAGGTTTTGCAAGTTCTGGCGGATGGCCCAATTATTTTTGGAAATATTTTATATAACAAAAGACCAGTAAAATAAAATCTTTGCAAGTGGCTTTAAATGACAATTAAAATGTCCTACAGCCTTAGGATAGTATTGAGCCAGTTTCATTTTCTGTCATGTAACTGTGTCACTTGCTTCCTTCCTTTTCCTACAATTTATTTGAACCTTCTTTTAGAATTCAGCATACTCAGACAGTAAACCATCATCTGCTCAGTGCCTGGCACATATGGGAACAGGCACTGAGTAACTATTCATCCAATGAGTAAATGCAGGCTGCACTGGCAGGAATCACACTTCTCTAGCAGGGGCAGCCATTCTGCATTGACTTCATTCAGTCAACACTCACCTTCAAAGGCATGTTGTTCAAATAAGAATGAAAAAATGACGTCAGAATCAAAGAACAAAGGTTATGTTGGATGTGCAGAGCAGAATTTAATGGAAAAAGAAGAGGATAATCACATACTGTCTAGTTAAATTTGTTCCATTTTGCCATCATGACCTCAGCTTGCTGTTGATTTGCATATTTTCATTATATTTCTAAGTGAAGGAAATTGTGAGTTTTTCAAAATTCTAAACATTACAAGAGTAATAATGTCAGATAGAGGCACCTTTTGTGGGACTATTGTCTACAGTTTCTCAGGTCAAAACTCTGTGACCCCAGCTTGTGTCCGTGGACAAGTTGCTTAACAAAGCCTCAGTTTCCTCATGTATCTAAAAATAGTAAGATCTATACCTCGTAAATTACTTGGGTAGATTAAATGAAGCAATCTAGAAAGTGCTTAATACCATATAAACTCTAACTGGTGTGACCATTTCTGTTAGAGATACCAGGTGATAACAATATTCCTGATACTTTCCTTTTCAACTGCATTAACTTTTTTTATACCATACCAAAGTAATCATTTTCTAAATTCAACTGTCACTCTGAGTAACTGAGAAAATAAAATGATACATGGTACATCCTAGGCAGGAAATTAAACATGTTCAGATACCATCAGATCAGATTCATCCTCCTAACCTATGAACTTGGAGTTCACCCCTCCAAAACTGGAGTGCTACCCAGGAAAATACAGAGAGCACTGTGCCTCTACTTGCAGGCAAACCCTTGGGAATCAAATGCACTGAGAAGCTCCCTTTTACTTTCCAATTCTCACTGATGGGAAAACCAAATCACTTAGGAAGGGCCCACCCTGAGAGCACAACCTATGATTTGACCCAAAAGCTACTTTTCACCTTGATTTTTCTAACAAATAAAAGAGAGGCCTGAGAAATATTGGAGGGAAAAATCAAAAGAATGTGCAACTTCTTGTAATCCCAGTACCTACAGCATTGCGCTCTGTATTAGTTTCCTAGGGCTGCTGTGATAAAGTACCGCAAACTGAGAGAATTAAACAACAGAAATTTATTCTCTCACAGTTCCAGGGGCTAGAAGGCCAGAATCAAAGGGTCAGCAGGGCCATGCTCACTCTGAAAGTGCTTAGGGAGGATATGTTCCAGGTCTCTCCTAATTTCTGGTTCCTCAGCTTGTAGCAGCATAACTCCAATCTTCAAATGGTGTTTTCTCTGTGTGCCTGTCTGCCTGTGTGTATGTCTGTCTCTGTGTCCAAATTTCCCCTTTTTACAAGGCCACCAGACATATTGGAGTAGGGGCCCACCCTACTCCAGTATGGCCTCATCATTAACTACATCTGTAATGACCTTATTTCCAAATCCAGTCACATTCTGAACATAAGACTTGAACATAAGAATCTGGGGGGAGACACAATCAATCCATAACACTCTTCAAAGTAGGGGGACTGGGAAAACAGTGTCAGCTCTTATATAAATCAAAACAAAGTAAACAATTTAGGAAATATTTATCTTTTCTTAAGGTCAGCCAAATGATGGGGATTTTTCTCAACGAACCCTAAAAGAACATATCTTTTGCCTCACAGAGGTTCTAAATTATGATTTTCTTAAGTGTTTCAATTATCTGTTTTTAATTTCTGCTTGCCTCTACATTAGGATTAAATTTCTGTCACCCAATGGTGATAAGTTCAAGCTGATCAAATAAGAATATTTTTTTTGTTGTTGTTGTTCATTAACATCCTCAATCCTCTTTAATTCATTTATAATCCAGACAGACAGCTAATTCTTTGGCCCTCTCAAACTGTAATCTAAAATAATTGCTACTGCCTTTGATTTTTAAATGGCAAATAAATATAGAGTATACATGTATTCTATTAGGCCTCATGGCTAGCTTAACATCAGCACAGCCAGGTTAAGTAACTTTCCCCCCTTCTCCCCCTCTGCTTTCCCTTTTCTGCTCTGGGAACTGAGCAGTAAAATTCCTCTCCTGGGAAGGGGTAAACATGACCGTTACCATCAAAGGAACGTCTGTGGGCTGTGGTAGCCGGCTTTGGACTGGAGCGCTTTGCACTGATATACTAAGGACACTAATTAGAAGCCTATGACCTAACTGACCAGATGTTAGCAGACTACAAAGGCTGTGTCACCTTGCATACCACTGATTTTGAAATTGCCCACTCTGCCCTGCTTTCCTTTGTTCTGGGGAACTCATCTGGCTCAGTCTCCCTTTCACATTAGCAGAATAAAGCTTTTTGGCTGAAATAGCACCAGGCTCAGGTCTCTGTCTCTCTTTTCTCTGTCTCGCCAAACCTAACAAATTCATATTTCAAATGCTCTGAAAATAACTAGACAACAAATATTTTTTTTTTTTTTCCTCTTTGTCTTTTTCCGTGTCCGGCAACGGATCGCAACCCTCAGTGTCGCCCCCATACCGGACTAGGACTGGCAATGGGATAGCAACCCTCGGTGTTGCTCCCGCGCCTCGCTCAGCCAGTGAGCGGGAACCGGTCTGTATGTGGGATCCGAACCCTCGGCGGGAGCGCCACCGCGCTTCCCAAGCGGCGCACTATAGCAGTGCGCCACCGGGCCGGCCCTAGACAACAAATATTTTAAGATAGCGATTATATTATAGCACAAGTAATACTATGAAATTTGTAACAATAACTCATTGCTCTGAATCTCCCAACAAACTAATATATGTCAAAGTATACAACGGACTCTTCTAAAAATCAAGAAAAACAGGGGGTCCTTGGTTTACATAATCTAAAAGCATCTAATCCATAAACTTGAGATATTAAGCAAACATTTACTATAGAAGAAAAATTTTTCATGATCTCAAAAATATTTCATCTCATCTCTTCATATAAGGCCTGCATACCTACAGATGGGACCCCTGTATCTAAGGAAGAGCTGCCCTTAATAAGTTCATAATCCTACCACAGCCACCTAATAAAATATCTTTTTTTTTTTTTTTTTTTTTTGACCGGTAAGGGGATGGCAACCCTCGGCACAGTGTGGTCAGCACCACGCTCAGCCAGTGAGCACACCGGCCATCCCTATATAGGATCCGAACCCACGGCCTTGGTGCTACCAGTGCCGCACTCTACCGAGTGAGCCATGGGGTCGGCCCCCTAATAAAATAGCTTAACTGTAAACCTAGTACAATGTTTACAAAACACATTTTTATGAAGCCCAAGTGGCCATGAACCCAATGGCATGCCTCTTGAGAGAGCTTAGAAATTTGGGAAGTAGTTTTAATTGCATATACCAATAAAAAGGAAAAAGTGAATTGGATTATTTAAGTCCAGTATTTGACATCATTGGCAAAATCTTGTCTAAAGGAGTTTGCTGTGGAGCCGCTATGCTAGAGAATACCAATTACATGTTCTGGGATGCCAGCGTAGCTTACAAAACAGAACAAAGAACCCATCAGCTCCTCTAGGCACATTCATTGACTGCACCAGTCAGGGTTGCCCCATGATCTGTCTTCTCTGACCACCCGATGTGGTGAAATTCGTTACACCGTACCGGTGTTAATAGCATTGTGCTTACCACCAGTATCAAAACAGGGCTTTATAACAGGTGATATTTTATTCTGTTTTAAGCAGCCTCACCTCCCAAGGCCCAAGTAATCTAGTATTTATACACATTTTCAGTGCCCTGTGGGAGCCTTCCATTTTAATAGGCTGTGATCTTCAATCAGGTGTCCTTGAGATAGCTGGAAATAAATACTTTGGTAACGTATTATCTTCTGTGTTCAGGAAATTCTACCCAATGGAATTAGGTTATCAAAAAAAAAAAGTCTTTGAGATTACCAACTGTTTAAATCATGTTTCAGACTACACAAAATGCCAAATCATCAGGAGCTAAACAAACAAACAAGTAAAAACCATATCAACTGTCAACGCACTGCCTCCAGGTCCAGATAAAGTCTCCAGAGGAGTGATGAAGAACACAGGCTTTGAAGTGACGGGACCCGGGTGTGAATCCTGATGTGGACACTGACATTCCAGCTGTATTTGTTTGCTATTGCTGCAGTGACAAATTACCACAAATTTAGTGGCTTCAAACAACACAAATTTATTATCCTCTAGTTCTGGAAGTCAGAAGTCCTAAAATCAAGATGTCACCAGGGCTGCATTCTTCCTGGAAGCTCTAGGAAAGAACGTCCCTTGCCTTTTCCAGCTTCTAGAGGGCACCTTGGTGTGTTGGGTTATGGCTTCTTCTATCTTCAAACCTCCATCTTCAAAACCAGCAGCTCCCTCTCTCTCTCTCTCTCTCTCTCTCTCTATCTCTTCCCGCAACCCCACCTCAGTTTCCATCCTCATATCTCCTTCTCTGACTCACCCTCCCAACTCCTTCTTATAAGAACATGATTACATTAGGCCCACCCCGATAATCCAGGTTAATCTTCCCATCTCAAAATCTTTAATTTGATTACATCTGCAAGGTCAGTTTACCCATGTGACATGTCAAGGTAACATATTCACAGATTCCAGGCATTAGAATATGGACATACTGAAGAGCATTATTCTACCACACCAGCTGTGTCACTTTGGACCAGTTACTTAATTTCTCTAAGCCTCAAGTTTCTCATATGCAAAATAAAAATATTAAAATATTAAAATTAGAATATTAATACCTCTTCCACATGGAAGTTGTATGGATTAAACAAGGAAACATTCATAAGCACTTACCATATCATATATGCTCAACAAATTGTTTTTGTAATTGTTCCCAACCTCATATATCTAGTCTGCTTCAAGAATGGCTGTTTTCAGTAAAGTCTCCTAGTAGTAATAATTATTTATTTGAATTATTACTATGCTTCTGGCACCATTCTAAGGGCTTTAGATAAAGCACTTAATTTAATGCTTTACTCTTTGAAGTAGAGTCTTATCCTTATTCTAGGTGGGCAGAAACTGAGGCTCAGAGAAACTAAGTAGCTTACCCAAAGTCACACAGCCAGTGCATGGCAGGGTCAGGATTTGAACCCAGGCAGTCTTAACCACTGTTCTATGCTGCCTTATTTGGTGCACCATGGCTACATAACATGAAGACACCAGAATTGGTTAATTGAACTAAAGTAAAGAAAACAGGACAAAGTGCTACAAAGGGTGATTGGGAAAATATAGACTTGTTCAGAAGCCACTGAGCTGGGGATCACCCTGCTGCTGCAGATGGAAGTGCAGGGACTGACTTCCTTTAGGCAATGGTACCCCACAGCCTATGAAGCTGTGACTGGTGACTGATATGTGGTCCATGTAGAAAAGTCAGTATATGTGAAAATAAAATTATACCCAAAAGATATTTTATTGGGTCTTCACACACACCCACACACGCACACATAGGCACATGTGTACACACATGTACCTACACACAAATTTTCACATCCACTCTAAGAGTAGGATATCCTTTGTGCTCTTAATTTAAGCAGACAGATACTGGAACCCAAACTTTCATGTGCCTAAGGGAATCTTTAAGTGGGTTAAGAAAATCAGCAGAGCAGACACCCACCATGCCAAGGCATGCTGTCTTTGAAGCACATGTGAAACGGTCAGACCTTATGTTTAAGTCTTAATTAACTAAAGGATACGTGTGTGCTAACATGAAATTCGTCTTCCTCCAGAGAGGGAAAGGCTGCAACCATCCTTCTTTACTTAAGAAATTGTTGTCCCAGGGACTATGTGAGATTCAAAGCTTGCCATTCAACCTCCAAGCCACCTCCTTCATCAACTGGGTAACAAATAAGGCTTTTTATATGTGCTGAGCATTTTTTTTTCACATTTGTAAGGAGAAAAATAAAGGGACAGAGAGCTCAAAACAAACACAGGAAGGGCCCGGGACACTTGAGAAGGGAAGATTACTGAGCCAAGTCTGAATTCGCAATTCCCTCTTTTAGTAATTCATTTATTCTGAATGGTGAAAAGTAGATATAGAATTAAATTAGTACTCACCAGTTATTATTCATAACAAATGTACTTCCTACATACAAGTAGACAATTCCTATATAATTTGCTTCTAAAAGAAGTCTAGGAGCCAAGTGACTAATTCTTGTTTGTACAATTAGTGAAAAGGCATATATGGCATTCCAGAGACTGTCATCAACTTCCTTCCTTTTATTATAAGGAAATCACATCGGGCCTAGAATCCTTGCCAACATAACAGTGGTCTGGAAATTTCTATTTAAACATTCAATGGATATGAGCTGTGTGGCATCCTAGCCTAGCTTGGCTGCCTGCCATGCTTAAATTTGAGACGTAAAGCCAGGCTGCTTAGTTCTGAAATCTACTTCTTTCCCTCCATGTTCAAGTACTTCCTAGCCACAAAACACTCATGTCTCAGAGCATCTTAGCATGGGAAAGTGGTTCCCATCTCCTCAGGAAGACTCACTTAGATAAGCTGACACTTTCAGGCCATTTTATGATAAATTTACTTCATGGGATCCTCTGAAGAATCAGTTTCTTTGTCTCGTCCTCAGTTTTATTCCCAGTAGCATTTCCTCTTTCTGTCTGTATGTGGATCTGATTCCTGCCTGAAGTAGAAAGGAACAGGGAAAATAGGGGATCAACGAAAAGGAAAGGAAAAACAAAAATCACAAATTGGCCACCAAAGAATGAAAATAACCTTTTATTGAATACCTATCATATGCCTGGCAATTTATACATATTAGATCATTTAATCTTCATCTCATACCTGAAAGACATGCTATTAATTCTCCATTTTTCAGATAAGAAAACTGAAACTCAGAGAGGTCGGGAAACTTACCTCAAGTCACACAGCTATGCAGTGGTAAAGTCAGATCTTTCCACTTCAGCAACAACATCCAACCACTGTGATTTAGAATTGAAATCAGAAAACAAGATTATAGAGTACAGCTTGACGCACTCTCCTAAGGATCCCACAGGGGTGGTTGGCTCATGGAGGCAGTGCAGTGCTAAAGAACTGCTGGTTGCAAGTCCAGTTGAGCTCTGTCCCTGTCTTAGGTGCAGGGGAAAAGCAGATGGAAGAGTGTGAGACATCAACAACCCCAATCCGTTCTCCACCTAGGGGAAAAGCTGGGAGATTCAAGAGGAGTGGTGCAGTCATTGTTGTAGACTGTGCCAGGGAGGGTCAGCACAAGGAGTTTTTCTGTCCTTCAGTGGCTTCTTAAACTAGCAGGGTGAAGAGATCCTAGTCCAGGAAACCAACAAGCCTGCTCAGAAGCCAGCCTCTCTCTTGCCATGAAACAGCAGAGGCTGCTGGAGAGGTAGGGCTGGAGGAACTTCCTCTAATTTAAATTTTCCATTTCTCACAATGGGCTAGTCCAAGGCTCATTACTTGGAACAGTAAAAGAAAGAATTAAAGGTTACAAAGCTTGCAATGGGATTCTACTCTGCTATAAAAAAGAATGAAATACTACCATTCGCAACAACATGGATGGACTTAGAGAAAATTACATTAAGTGAAACGAGTCAGGCACAGAAAGAGAAATACCACATGTTCTCACTTATTTGTGGGAGCTAAAAATAAATAAATAAACACAAACAAATAAGGGAGGGGGAAGAAGACACAACGATCACAACAATTCCTTGAACTTGTTAAGACAAGTGAACAGATATGATGCAGTGGGGCAGGGTGAGGAGTAAGGAGGGGGGAAAGAGGAACGGGTAAAGGGACATGAAAATCAACTATGATGTATATTGAGAAGTTAAAATTAATTAATTAATTTTTTAAAAAAGGTTACAAAGCTTGCCTTTTAATTCTCATTTGCTTAGTTTCCGTTTGAGCAATTATTATTTCTGCCTTCACTAGAGTATTTAACACAATGTAATTGACCTGCTAGGAAGTAAAAGTATAACAGTTTTATAATTTGTTACATTGAAATTTAAATTTGCATATTAAACAGCAAAGGCATTAACACGTATACCTATTCATCAACTATGGATTATAAAATACCTCTCTAGCTTGAGCCCAAACAGCATGCCATTTTCTGAGTGAACTGTTTAATTAAATAGAAGATGATTAACAGCATTCCTTTATACTCCTGTGTACTTTATTGTTTAAAATTAATGCATAAAGACATTCAGAAACTTCACAAAATCTCTGAATATGATAGATTGGCCCTTCTCTGGAAAAATACAATGTAAAATAAACCTTCACTATAAATAAAACAAAACAATAAAGTAAATAGCACTTGAATTCAGATTCAATTTTACCATTTTAATTTCATTCAAAGCTTCGTCACTGCTGAGGCTGGTCTAAGTCCTGTCTTAAGATTTGTACCATGCCAAGAACTCGTGTAGGAGAACAGGCAGCTAACTTCTCAGTCTAACACACTGTCATTATAAATCAATGGTGAGCTACCTTAATTTGGTGTATCTAATCTACAAACCAAAATCCTGTACTCACCTGAAACGTACTTTTCAAAAATAATTGCAGAGCAGTAAATGGGCTTATCTTAACCTCTTTTGTTTCTGATAGTCCTGACCACTGGCTTAGATCTCCTCGACCTGAGTGAACCTGTCTCTCAAACCCAAACCAAAGCTAAGAAGTTGGAGGCCTCATCAAAAACCTCATCCCTCAAGAAAAAAGCAGATGGTTCTGACCTCATCAGCACAGAGGCTGAGCAGAGAGGCCAGTCTCTCAGAGCGCCGGAGGCTTCGTCCTTAGATTTAGGTAAGATCATAGCTTGTGGCAGCTGTGGCTCAGCCTTGCCCTGCTGAAGTTGATACAGCAGGGAAGTTCCACAGATGACATTAAAACAGTGAACAAAGGAGTAGAAAAGATGACTTCCATATAGGAGACTGGACAGTACATATCTTCCTTTGTGCTTGAATTGAATAGCGGTTGGGGAGCTCAACTTCGCATAACTGGTATCAATGCATTTATTTATTTATTCAACCTACACGTGTTGAGTTCTTGATAGATGCCAGGCACCATTCTAGGCACTGGAGCTACAAATAAAACTAAACTGTGAATCTTGCTGTCTAGGAGCACTTGGCCTAAGACAGGAGAAAGAGTCATGAGTAACCAAGTCTAACACAAGGCCCAGTGACAGCCGGGTGAAATGACAGCATGTGGCATGTTTGGGACTATGTCCAAAATGATCATAACGACTACCATTTATTGTTTGCTTACAATGTTACAATGCTGCACTACATGATTTACATATATTATCTCATTAAATCATCACAACTCTTTGAAATACGTAAGGAACCAGGTTTTTAATTTAATGTAATGCCCAAAGTCTCACAGTTAGTAAGAGGGAGAGCTGGAATTTGAGCTTAGCTCTACTTAACTTCAAAGTCCATATTTTTCCACCATAGTCTACATCCTCCTGAGAAAGGACAGCTTAATCTAATTCTCAGCTCATGGCACTAGTCAAATTAAGATCTCCTTTCCCAGGAGAAAGAAAGGTGGCAGGTATTTCAGAAAGCCAAGGGGAACATGCATCTCTCCCGGTTGTGAATGACTGGAGTGTGTGTGTATGTGTGCATACATGTGCATGCACGGGGGTACTTCAAAAAGTTTGTGGGAAAATGAAATTAAAAAATAATATGAATCTTTCCATGAACTTTTTGGAGCCGCTTTGTATATGGTGAATAGATATACTACTTATAAAATGGGCATATTAGTAGCTTATCCATAAGGTTGTGAAGAATGAATGGTATATATATGTGAAATCACTTACCACTGTGATATGTATGTGTTACATGGTCATGAATTAACTTATTTGTTCAGCAAACATTTCTCTGAGTACCTTCTGTGTTCAGGCACATACTATGTGTTAGGAAGACAAAGATAAATAATATAAACTCTCTGCCTCTTAGCAAGTTTACAGTCTAGTGGGGAGATAGAAAAATGATTAAATGATTATAATAAAATATTAATTATGTGCTACAGTAAAGGGAAGCCCCAGATGAGTTACTTCATAATGCATCTGGCCCAGCCAGAGACATGGAGAAGAAGTCTTATAGAAGGTGCTGCGTGGACAGAGTCTTAAGGAATGAGCAGGAATTTGCCAGATGAAAAAGATGGATTAGGAGAGAGGTGGAAAGGCCAGGACAGGGCATTCTGGTACTAATAAAATATTAATTATGTGCTACAGTAAAGGGAAGCCCCAGATGAGTTACTTCATAATGCGTCTGGCCCAGCCACGGAGATGGAGAAGTCTTATAGAAGGTGCTGCGTGGACAGAGTCTTAAGGGATGAGTAGGAATTTGCCAAATGAAAAAGATGGATTAGGAGAGAGGTGGAAAGGCCAGGACAGGGCATTCTGGTATGGAAGAGAAAGGGATTCACACACAGACAGATGAACACAGAAAGATGTCTTTCCAAGTAAACACATGTATTGTAATAGTATTCAAGGATGGTGGAATGAGAGGAAAAATGTCTGAGAGTCACTAGTGGGCAGATAATAGGAGTCCTTGGATGCCACGCCCTTAACACTGGGGGGGGGGTGTTGTATGAAGGGTTTTACTCAAAGAAGTGATAGCAACAGAGTCTTAGAGAAATCCTTCTCTGATGGATGTATGAAGTAATAAAGGCAGGAAGCCCCATACAGAGGGGACAGTGAAGAAGAGACAGACTTTAAAAATATTAAAACAAGATTTGGGACTGAGTGAATGTGTGTATGCGAGCAAGAGAGACACAGAATTTGCCAAGCACTGTGGTAGAGGATACAAGAGGGCAGGGAGTGAGGGAGGAAGTCAAGGGGGAAACCATTGAGTTCAGTTTTGAACCTGTTATATTTGAGGAAACTGGAACTTCTGTACCCAGTAGACTGTTAAGTATATAGGTCTAGAACCTGGGAAAGAGAGCTGAGCAGGAAATGGAGATTTGAAAGTCAGAAGCCTATGAATGGATATTGCAACCATGGGTGTCATCCAGGGGTACACTGTAGAGAAAGGGAAGAGAAACAACCCATAGTTCACATCAGTTGCACGCACAGAATCCCTTCACCCCTGCCATATCCCTCTCTGAGGCCTGTCTTTGGAGGAAAATTTTATAACTATCTCTATTATTTCCTCATAATCCATGTGTTCTAGGTTTATTCAATCATACAAATGAATAAATAAAATTTATGTATTTGTTTAAGAACATAGTATTTAGTATATTACAGTATAACATGTATATGAAACATATATAACAATAAACATGTACATGAAAATTTTATTTCTCTGCTTCTGAGAAAATTTCATATAAAGAAGTTGTAAAAACACTTAGTTTAAAAGACCTTGGAGAATAGCAGTGTTATTCACAATAGTCAAAAAGTGGAAACAGGATGACTGGATAAACAAAACGTGGTATATACATAAAATAAACTGTTATTCAGCCTTAAAAAGGAATGAATTGTTGATACATGCTACAACATGGGTAAAGACATTATGCTAAGTAAAATAAGCCAGACACCAAAGGACAAATATTGTATAATTCCACTTATATATCTAGAGAAGTCAAATTCATAGAGACAGAAAGTAGAATAAAACTTATCAGGGTGTGGGAAGTGGGGAATGGGGAGTTAGGGTTTAATGGTTACAGAGTTTCAATTTGGGATGATGAAAAAGACCTGGAGATGAATAATATTGATGCTTATAATACATTTAAAAATGGTTAAAATGGTAAATTTTGTTATGTTTATTTTACCACAAATTTTAAAAAGAAGGTTAAAAATAAAGACCTTGGAAGACATCAACTGCAAACCTATCTTTTTTTAAATGAAAAATTGGGCCCCAAGATTGTGTAAGTGATTTGTTCACAGTCACACATCTGTTAATGAGAGAGAGTCCAGACAGGTTCTTTATTTGTAAGAATTCAGCCACAGGGACTACATGGTTCTAGCATTCTCTGGGCTTTCTTCACTGCCTCCTTCCTCTCTATCTCCACTGTAAATTCCCTCCCTTGGTAAAAAATTAAACAGTCTACACAGAACCTGTGAAAAATGTTCTGGTTTCATCCCACATTCTTTTAACATCAAAGCTCATCTCTTTAAACAGAATATCTTTCTGAAAACATGCCAAAAGTGCCCCAAAGCCACCTCCTTAGCTGGAGGCTAGCCTGATAGTATCCCATATGCACATTCTACACCAGATACCATGGGCTCATAAAAAGGATTCAGAATGCATATAGTTTTTGAAATAATTTCGGGTAAAACAACTTGATTGCTTTAACTGTACAAGCAATCCAATTTATCTTAATAGGTCTCGTTTTTACTTAGCTGCATATGTTTTGGTTGATTTTCAGGCAACATTGAAAAGGTAAAAGTTGGTCTTGGCGCTTGAGAGCATAGCTTGAGTACAGTTCACTTGGATAAGACTCCTCAGTTTTAATCAATCTCTCTTCTCTCTGTGCCTCATGTTCTCCCTGTCCCCCTTACCCACTTCCTCTGTCCTTAGTAGATATTCAAACACAACTGGAAAAATGGGATGATGTTAAGTTTCATGGAGATCGAAATACCGAAGGGCACCCAATGGCAGAGAGAAAATCATGCTCATCTAGAACTGGATCAAAAGAGCTCTTATGGTAAGATGTTTTGATACCAGAAAATATCCATTTATGTGGCAACTTTATGGGTATTTTTCTCATGTACTAAAATAGCCAATGAGTTAAGTCAATCCAAATAGTTGGTGTCATGCATAATCCCCTAAATAACAATCTTAGCTATTTGTGCCTTCTGCAAACTCTAAATTGTTTTATCTGAATTGTCAAAAATTAAGTCAATTCAGCCAATAGGATTTGGGGAGGCTCATGATTCAACAGTTGTGGATAATTTTCTGAATGTGTAACTGAGCTTATAAATAGTTGCATATGTGTATATAGTAATGTGATAAAAAAAAAAAAAAAAAAAAAAAAAGAAAATGTATGTGACTTCATGGAGATCTCAAGTTAGATTCACAACCATTTGAAATGTTAGCAGCATTATATTTACTTCTAATAAAATAAATGGGTAAGTAAGGTTAATCATTCATAATACCTTATGACAAGCGGGTTCTGTTTCATGGAATATCACTGTACAGCCCATTTTATGTATGTATCATGTATTAACAAGGTAACAGACTATTCAAATTTTTTAAATGATCAATTTCATCTACCTGGAGAAGGCTCTGCAGCTGGAGGAAGGCTGTCACTTTTCGTGTCTGTCACTTTGTCTAACCACACTCCAAGACATGTCAGCCTGGCGTTAGTGTTTACTTCACAGAGTAAAGATGGGGGAACTTTCTAAAACAGAAGAAAGAAAAATTCTTAACATAGCTAACAGAAAAATTTTACTTTTCTTTTTCCATAATCAAGCTGCCTTAATTTAAAACTTACTGAATTTCCTTGAATATAAAATATGATGATTAGAAGTAATCTGTCATCTTGACTCATGATTGCTATTTTGTTCAGAGTCAACTTCTGAGAAGTATACAGAAACTGTAAAGCCTAAGGAAAGGAACCATATCTTGTTTATTTCTAGGGTTTTTAACAAAAAAACCTGCACAAAGTAGACACTCAACAAGCCATATTCACAGGATGTGTTTATAAAAGAATGAAAAATGACAAACTGGGACTGTAAGTAGGAGACTACAGAAGAGAATTTTATCTTTCAATGATCTGGTTCAAAACTACTCACAATTGATCAGAAGTTTCCAAGTTGTTTCTATAATGGCAGTATTTTTACCTAACATCTTACAGAGAACCAATGTATGAAGGAGAAGTAGACTTTCTCTGATTAAAGGAGCAGAGGGAGTTCTGGGACCTGCCAGCACAGATTCACAAATGCCAACCCCTAAGGCAGCTCTGTGGGAACCATAACTTTAAAACCATCAATATTAATCATGCCTGGAAGAGATGTGAAAAATTTATTTAAAGACCTATGTCGGGGGCCGGCCCGGTGGCGCACTGGATAGTGCGCCGCTTGGGAAGCACGGCGGCGCTCCCGCCCAAGGGTTCGGATCCCACATACAGACCGGTTCCCGCTCACTGGCTGAGCGAGGCGCGGGAGCAACACCGAGGGTTGCGATCCCGTTGCCGGTCCCCGGTCCGGTACGGGGGCAACACTGAGGGTTGCGATCCGTGGCCGGACACGGAAAAAGACAGAAAAAAGACAAAAAAAAAAAAAAGAAAAAAAAATTTTTCTGGTTATACAGGTTACTTTTTCTGGCTTTTTCAATCATCCACTGTCAGGTAATACAATAATTAAGAGTAATCTACAGATGCCCATGAGAAAATCTGGCCACCTGAGTTTTACCATGTTTTTGAAGCTTCCTAAAGGGCAGCATTCTGTTTCAGTCTCTTGTTGCCCCTTGCACATGTCTTCTTCTTATGACATTTTGAATTCTACATAAAGACAAAGTCATGCCAGAGACAATTTGTGAAAAGTCCCACCCCACAAAAAAATATTTCTTATAAAACAGAATTTTATGTAACAAAAATGGTATTGCATTTATTTACTTTTTGACCGTAATTGAACTGAATTCTAAATAAAAGTTAATAGCACCGAGCACATTGTAGCCACCTAAATTCTGAAAGTGGCCATTATAATAAAAACATAAAAATTATCTTTTTCATCAAAATTCTCATGAGAGCTTTGCTGTTATGGCTTTCAATGATCCAAATTAACTTTCTTGGCTGGATTTCTAGCTGAATTTGCTTCTTGATGTGTATTAATTTCCTTAACACATCCTTGATAGGTCCTCAGAGCACAGATCTCAACCAGAACTGAGTGGTGGGAAAAGTGCCCTCAACTCTGAGTCGGCTTCAGAGCTGGAATTAGTGGCTCCAACACAGGTAATAAAATTTCAATGAACCCATCTTTTGTAACAGATACTATATGTCATAAATATTTTATTTAAATTTTGCCCCCAAAGTTTGAAGTATTGTTTTGTATTTTGCCTTTTACGTGCTTTCTCACTCCGTAGCTATCTCAATGCTGAAAATAACTGATTTCTGTATGTGTGTGTATATATATACATATATATTTGACTGGAAAATGTGTTAATAAATTCACTGTGTACTTAGCACTTTTTCCGTGATCTACCATTTACTGTTCCCTTATTGTGCAGTACAAAATCTGTTCTACTCCAGTATTAACGGTATTTATGTAACAGAACACAAAGAAGAGGAAATTACATCTTGAGTGTTCATTCACATCTATGCCCTGTGGAACGAGGTACTACAGTCCTGACAGTCAACGTTCAAATAAATTTTGTGCTAAGGAATATATTATTATAGCATTAGCAGTACTGATGGTAAATAAGAGTTACCATTTGTGAGTGCCCAGTAAGTATGACAATACCTCAAATAGCTTATGCAAAGATTAATATTATCTCTTAATTCTATTTTCCATGAACTTTTTAAAGTCCTTCTCATGTGTTATATCTAATACCCAAACAATCCTGTTAATTCCTATTTGCCTCACTTTAGAGATACTTTAAAAATACTCTAGTCTCAGGCCAGCCCGGTGGCGCACTGCTACAGTGCGCCACTTGAGAGCGCGGCGGCGCTCCCGCCGAGGGTTCGGATCCCACATACAGACCGGTTCCCGTTCACTGGCTGAGCGAGGTGCGGGCGCAACACCGAGGGTTGCGATCCCATTGCCGGTCCCGGTCCGGTACGGGCACGACACTAAGGGTTGCGATCCATTGCTGGACACAAAAAAAGGAAAAAAAAAAAAAAATACTCTAGTCTCAGCGAAGCCAAGCACATTTTCCTGGGAAAGTAGGG